GATCAATAGTTTATCTATTTTTAAAATTAAGCAATTTCGTCTTCTCTACTATTTCACTTTGACTTAAAACATTCAAATTTTAATTTTCTACTCAAAATTTCTGTACCTTTGATTGGGACTAAATTGTTTTCATTTTCCTCCAACTTACCAACTAAAACATTATTTTTCGCAAAAAATAAAAAGTCACATATCTTTCTTTTTCAAACTTTAATTTCGCACCCTACTATGGTTTTCTAACATTCAATTCAATGTTTGCTAACGTTTCTCTAAATATCTAAAGTGATTTAATCAAATTCATCAAAGTCCGAAATGTTGGACGTAAAATGAGAATTTAAGGGTAGATAGAAAACACAATTATCAATTGTTTTTTTATTTATAATTGCACAAGTATCACCTTATTTCATTTTTATTTTTAAAAGTTACGTTAATATAATAAAAAGGTCATTTCCTATTTTCGAATAGAATAACAAAACACAATATTCTTGAGGAATATATTTTTTTTAAAATGTAAATTTCTTTCACTATGCGCGTGATACATTTACAACCACTCACATGCGTACTCTCTCTACCAATTGTTTATTAATTTTTATTTAACAATTTAGTTTATATTTTATTTAAATATCTTAATTTAATATTTTATTATTATTTGAAGTTGTTAAAAACTTATACTGTAAATGTATCTAAATGAATGTGAGAAAAAGGAGAGAAGCCATCAATATTAATTAGCCCTAATTTACGTGAGACTGTCCTATTATCATTATAATTGGGAGGATGTGATGAAACTTGGTATATATATCACTTTCATTACACAAAGATATCAAGCACCAATCAGATTAATTCCATATTATATATTTTAGTAATGATTTATATTTATTTCAAAATAACAAAACAAATATACAAAATCGAAAGCTTTTTTCAACATTTATGTTTCAAATGTGGATAAATTATCCATTATGATTGAATGAGTGAACCATAGACAGTTCAGAACTTCTTTTTAGCATTGGTAAAAGGTTTGAAAAGTTGTGGTAAAGTCTCACACATGTCGTCCCCATAAGATTATCATGAGTGGCCAAATGGAGTAAATTGTTGAACTGATTTAGGTTTTTGGTAAAGTAGTTCCATATGACAAACATGAACACTCATTCTGGTTCTTTATCCAAGAGTCACTCATCTGGGCATTACGTAATCAAAGAAAGAACCATTCAACGAAATGAGGTTTCACCGCTTTAACCTTTCACCTTTGGTCCCACTGCTTGCACCATGCACGAGGTTTATGATCACCCTTCCACAACAATAATTCATATCTTCCTTCCTTCAACAAAATAATATATGAGAGAGACTGCATGATGATGATACATAAATAAAGAGTTATACATTATTCATATCCATGCTTTCTGTAAACATTTTCTTATAATTCCATTTTTAATTATAGAGTATACATAGTAAGAAGGACAAACAAAAATAAAGGTCTATTTCCAGCCATTATTTTAAGCATAAAAGAATATCTCTTCCTTCCTTCACCTTTTTGAAACCTTCCAAAGCTCTCTCTCTCTCTCTCCTTCTCCAGGCTATTTCTCTCTCCTCTTTATCCCCCTCTTAATATATATATATATATATATATATATAGAAACACACCATTATTATCGTTATACTCAACCCATAAGAAAGATTGGCTTACTTGAGACTCAGACCAACTGACACAGAGAGAGAGGGTGGCAGAGCAGACATGGGAAGGGCTCCTTGTTGTGACAAAGCCAACGTCAAGAAAGGTCCATGGTCACCTGAAGAAGATGCTAAACTCAAGGCTTATATTGAGCACCATGGTACTGGTGGCAACTGGATAGCCTTGCCCCAGAAAATAGGTTTGCTCTCCATCTCTATTCATCAATCAACACATGTCGATTAAATATTATTGCAAACCAAACTTCTCAATTACATATATATAATGATTTAACTTGCCAATCTTATTTTAGAACACAGAATTCTTTAGGTTGTTTCTTATTTTCTTTGTATGTGTGTGGTTTAGGCCTTAAGAGATGCGGGAAAAGCTGTCGTCTTAGATGGCTAAATTATCTTCGCCCAAACATCAAACATGGGGGATTCTCAGAAGAAGAAGACAACATCATCTGCAGCCTTTACGTCAGTATTGGAAGCAGGTAATTAAATAAGTTCCCTATTGATCTGCTAAAATTAATTTGAATTCGTTATTCAAGTTAATTAAGGAGTCTCTATTTATGTAGAATTAAGCAGTGTCTGATGTAAACTTGAAACCCAATTAATTGATCGCTTAGAACTTGCCGGAATACATACATGCAGGTGGTCAATTATAGCAGCACAGTTACCAGGGCGCACAGACAATGATATAAAGAACTATTGGAACACTAGGCTAAAGAAGAAGCTTCTTGGCAAACAAAGAAAGGAACAGCAGATTCAAGCTCGCCGTGTCAGCAACAATCAGCAGAAGCAAGAAGTGAAAAGAGAAACCGAGAATTTGATAGCAGCTTCTGAAGTCATCAATCAAGTCCCCTATTGGTCTGCAGAATATTCTTCTTTGCCTCTCCCAGTGACTGATGTTTGCTTTCAACACTACAGTCTGAACAATCAAACTTCTCTCAGAAACTTGATGGTTAACAAACTAGAGGGAATTAGATTTTCCAACGATCATCATCAGCAGCAGCAGCAGCAGCCATACACCAATGCATGTGAAATTCCCTCCCTGCCAAACCAGGTTTTTCCAACCATGGTAAATCATGTGGCCGTCGTGAGTGATGAAAACAATAGCGTCCCTTATCAGCCATCAAATATATTTCAAGGGTTTGAAAACTTCCCGAGTGATTTTTGCGAACTGGTCTGCGTGAACTCGCAAGAAATGGATCGGTCAATGGAGGGTTTTAACTACGGAAGGGAATCCATGGACGTCATGAGCAATGGTGGTAGCACCAACACAACTTCAACAGAAAGCACTAGTTGGGGTGACATGAACTCTTTGGTCTACTCACCTTTGGTTTCTGACTACGAAGGTTGCCGACAGGGAAATCCTGGAGATGTTGTTGGTTTCGAAGAGTGTAACTACTTTGGAATGCAGATGCAATAACAGCTCTGAATACGAGGTGGTGTAGACGTAAACTTGTACCACTAAAAAAGAATTGGTATTGGCCAAAACCCTAATGAGTTCAGTTTAATTCGCTTACATAATTTGTTGGTTTCGTAGTTTCTTGTTTCATTCAAACTGTTGCGAACATCTTCCACATGTTTATACATATTGAGCACAACTCTTTTGTTGAGGATTTATTTTCTATATATCTATAACCTTATGTATATGGATGGTACAGAAGGAAAGAATCTTAGTAATAGTGCGAGAGCCTTGAATTCCTATAATGTGTCAGTTTTGTACTGCAGCTGGATCAAGTGCAGTTTGTTTGGATACGTGCATATGTTTATACCACAAGATGCAGTTTAATTATGATTTTCATTTATGGTGATGTACTTGGATTGAACGAAAATCTCAGTTTCTATTGATTGATTTGTATTTTTCGCAAAGTTCATTTGAAAAGCAAAGCAAAAGCTGTGGGAAGTTTGAAAGGTGCATAACATTTTGGCTGTGAGTTAGTTAGATTTAGCAACGGAGGCATCAAATATATGGCTGCATTCTTTTATAGTTTTGTTGATGTCTGGTATTTAGTTGGCGTACATCTCATGTGAGTCCAACTAGAAACTATAGAGCATTAAGCCTCGTTGTCCCTCAACTTGGATGCCTCATATAGAATCCGCCTGACAATAACAACACATACTTTTACTTCCAACTAAAACTATGCACACGTACCCACTATCCCTTTTCTTCCTGTTCATGCATTCAAAATCATAAACCCTTCTTCTAAATTATTCTCTCTTTCTTCCAACTATTCCTTTCCAAATGTATAACTCGAAACTTTTCCATCAAAATCAATCGCCTTATACGTAACACTCAAAAAATACCACCACAATCAGAATCTTGGTTAACTTCTCCTCAGAACCACCACATTTTTCACTCTTTTTCTGCAATATTTCTGAGCCTTCCATTTCTAAAAGTCTTTCTTCAAAATTTATTGAGTATTTAATTTTTCAAATGGATATGTTGATTCGTTAGAGTTGATAACACAATTGTCAATCATTAAACTTGCGCACCACCAAATGTTTAAGGTTTTTTTAGTCCTTATCTTATTTGTGTCATTGATAGTGGCAAAGTTGTTCTGGTTGATGTGATCCTCCGTGCATGGTTCCTTCGCTTGAAGATAAGGAAGACCCATTTTCCAAAGTGTCAATGATGCAGTAAAACCTTTTGTTGGGCTCACTCGTTTCTCGGGTGATTTAGAAAAAGGGTTGTTTTGGCTTCTAACTCATTATTAGAGAAGCTTTATTTAACTTTTAACTAAAGAATTTAATATATTTTTTTGTAAGTAATTATTAATTAATTGTATAACTGATATCGGTTACTAATAAGTATTCTTAAAATTATTTGTGCGCGAAAGAATTTGATGAGCAAATATTTTATACTTAGTTTGTTCATGATTAATTACTTATAAATTCTCTAAATAGAAGATTGTTGTACTCATTCATTATTAATTCACAATAATTCCATTTTAGAGTTTCTTTTCTTTTTTAAGCTCCCAAGCTTCCGAGTGTCTACATATATTTATCAACAAGTAATCTATTATTATTATTAATTAATTCTTTACTGATAAAAATAAACAATGTTAGCATTCTACAACATCCAAAATTTGGAACGTAATTAGTTAAGTGTTATTTTAGAATATAAACCAACTATAACTTGATATAAATTTTAAGAATGACATATAATTTTTGTAGTGATTAAAAATTTGTTAAACTACGAATTTATTTTTAGTCTTTTAAATTTGAATATTTTTTTCTGGCACTTCAAATTTAAAACATTTTTGTTTGTAATGTATATTCATTTGATCCCTAATTTATGATTATTTTAGTCTCTCATAAAAATTAAAAGCGAGCAATTTTTAAATTACAAGAATAAAATATTCTACTTTTAAATTTAAAATAACAAATAAACTTAACCTAAATTTAAAGAAATCAATAAAACATTTAAGCATTTAGCGATTAGTTTTCCAGTAAGGATGGGAATAGGAACACAAAATCCCCTTAGATTTGAAGAGATGAATATCATTCTACTCATTTCAAAAACGTCTTTGAAAATTTAAAATTAAAAAATCGTAATTAATTTATACGCATAGAAATGAATTTTATGTCCTTTTATTAATAGTTAACTTATGCAGTTTTATTTTTAATAGAATTCAATATGTTATTTTTTTTTCATAATTTTAGATTTATTAAGAAAAAATAAAATTATTAATTTATGTATTATTACTTGAAAATTATCGCAATTTATTATTATATAAGTTTTGGAATGGTAAAGACTCCATGAATGCATATGAGAAAATGGGAAATGGCTTCAATTGGTGTGATGGTAAGTAGTTTTTATAAGACTTTTATTTGACTCCTAATACAAGACATGTAATTGTTAATTATAAAATAAAGAAAGAATTCCATGAAAGTCACAACCTGACATTTCTGTACATGTACTATTAAGCATGACTTTTATTCACCATTTTATTCAGATTATTATTCATTTCTTCCAAAGTTGAGATTTAAAGCTAGCCAACCAAATCTAATAAACCAATAGATAGTGACGTTGATTTTGGATCATCTCTTTAAAAAATTAATATTTTCTTTGCCGGTTTAGGTGAAATCTATACCTTTTTATTAAACACATTTCTTCGCAAGCTTATTCAATATAAGAGCCATTGCCACGCTTTTTTTTCACAATTTTTTCAAACATCCTCTATTAATTATTTTAAATTATAAAATTATGAAAAAAAATTTAAATAAAACACTAAGTCCAAAAACCTATGTCAATAAAATTTAGTAAATAAAAATATAATTTGTAATGATAAGGGTAATGCAACAAAAAAAAAATCCTGACATGTTTATATATTGAAAAAATATATTATGGTTTGATGTTTCTTTTTGTAGTATTTGGAAGAAGAATATGTGTTTGTTCCAGGAAGAAAATATTTCATAATGAAAAAAAGTTGTCCAAAAGGTTAAAACCTATTTTTTTTAGATGTAGATAAATAATTTATGCCAAATAGAATTTGTAGTCTGATAAAAGAAAGTTTGTACGTTGTTTATTTAATATCATAAAAACAGTGTCTTCATTTCATATGTATCTTGAATATAAAAATTATTTTTTTCTCATACTATTTTATTTTTTATTCTTTTTGACTCTTATAAAGAAAAACTATTAAACTAATTTAGGATGTATTTCCAAAGCAAGAGTCATAATACTTTTAAGATTTCATATCCACAGATTTTATATAACTAAATTTAATTATATATTATTTACACTTTAAATTAAAAATGTTTAATTATTATATTTAATAAATAATATTATTAACTACTACAAATTATTATTATTTATTTATTGTTGTGAAATAAATTATATTTCTTAAACTAACGATTCTTGATAATTTGAAGAAAAAAAAATCTCAAATCCATGTCATAAATTTTCAATATTTATGAGATTGAAGACACTCTGTAAACTTTACTGAGAGGTCAAAGCAGGCCAACCCGATATTTGAATGATTGTTTCACAGCTCAGAATGCAACTCCAATGAAATTACCAGCATTTAATGTTGACTTTCCTCCTCAATTCGTTTGGAATGAAAACCTTATTCTCAATTTTTTAACGTTTAATTATTGATGTTGCTTTTCCCACATAATCTTAGAAGTGATTTGATGTTGATAGTTGATTTGTCAACATTAGAAAACTTCAACTGCACCTTATCTAACTTTCAAACCCCTGTTAAAATAACTTTTTTTCTTTCAAAACATTAAATAATCAATAATTAAACATAAAAATTTCACAACAAGGTAAAAATAAAAACTAAAATAAAATATTAAGTCTATCGATCTCAGAACCGACTTTTATTAAGTCCACTAATTTGCTTTTAAATTAATAATGTGTCGACTATTTCCTTTTCGTATATTTATTTATATAGCCATTATTGGCTTGTCCATCATTAAAAAAAACATGCATTTTTTTTTCAATTCGAGCTTTAGACGTGAACTAACCTAAAGTTAGAAAGTTTAAATTTATGTGGTTCACTTCAGTAAATCACAAAAATAATATGGCTCAACGTTGTCGCTAATTTTACAAATTTTGGAAAGAAATAATTAATTTGGTCCTGTATGTAGTTGTTTTGTCATACTAATTATGGATGTAAAGAAAAATTAGATCAAATAATTATAAATTTTATTTATGACCTTAAAATCAATATTTCTTTTTCATTTTAATTGTTAATTCGAGAACTTAAGTGATAATAATAATAACATATGTATAGGGTCAAAGTGATAAAAAAAAAACACAACCAAACTAAATTATAAACATAAATTAAGGACTTTTATGACTTTTACTCAGTTTCAGTTCAATTTAAAAAAGTAATAATGTTTTTCAGAATGAAGATGGAAACAAAAGGTATAATTAATCAGAGCTTTTTCTGCAGGATTGAAATATGAGAAATAAAAGAAATAAATAAATAAACCAATAAAATCATTTTATCTTATCATTAATCTAAAATCATTCTCCATCTAACAAAGCATGATGTAACCTGTGAAGAAAAAACACTCAGTAGACCTAGTTGTCGCTTGGTGGACAAAACTGTACCGTCTTTACCGACGAATCTCCATTCTATCCATCAGCTCCAACACAAAATTGTTACACACATCATTACTTATCCCTCCGCCACACCATGCATATACCACTTTCACTCCTTAAACTATATCATATTTTCAACATTCCAAACCAACAGCAAGAAGACAAATGAATGAAAAAGGAGATGGCTACCATCTATATTTAATTTCTGTTGAGTATTATAAATGAAATATTGAAGGACGCCAGCTTTCAAATTAATTTATTTCATATAAAACGAGTATGTAATATATGAGGATATATAAATTAGGTTTGAATTTTGTTAAAAAAATACAGTAGCGTAAAGTTTACGATGATGAAAGACATTATAAGAAGGTGTGGGTGAGAGAGTTTTAGATGTTACTGAGAAATGGAAGCGGGTTGGGTAGGAAGTGCCATCAAGCAATGTGGAGTGAACAATAATGGTATAGCTTTTGTGAATATTCAATTAAAAGGTTGATGAAGTGGGTAGGAACTCAGAGCATAATCCCTTGACGAGACCAACCATTTCGGAAACAGATTCAGAGCATACCAACAAACCTTTTCACTTTCTTTTTTCTTCCTATGATTCAATTTAAGATATTCTTTTAAATTCACAACCCACATCAATTCTTTCAATAAATGCTCCATTAATTACACAAACTCAGCCTTGATTGAAGCCTTCAGTCTGTTCAAGCCACGACAAATGCCCATCACCACCTTCTTCCAAGGATTTATACTTTTCATGCAAAA